GGCTTACAAGGTGCTTCCTCGCGTGGGCAAGCTGATGGTGCGGGACACTTTCTCCTTATAATAGGGGTCTCGAATAGAGAAGCTGATCGCATCCTCTTTGATCTCCATGAGGGATGCCAAGGACTTGGTGATGTTCTTGGTGGAGATATCCAGTGTGGGTCCTAGACACTCGGCTGATACTGCCTTCATCTGCCCCGAGAGCTTGGGCTCTCCCTAGAGCAGGGAAGAGGAGTCAGACACAGGCAGCATGGAGGAGGATATGAGAGGACATGGGGTACAGCAGGAAGGTACAGGGTGCTGTTTCTCATGGTCCCTGGTCATGAGGGGCTAAGCTTCCCTGTATCACACTGGGATGTCCATCACAGCACTCGCTCTCCATACTATAAGAAAGGGTGACAGCCTGGACAGAGAAGAGGGATTTCCTCCTCCTCTAACTGCAAATGAACAGGTATGATACTGCATGGCAACCTGCTTGATGTGTACACAAACTTGGAAGGTATTGGGTATCCTTGTAGATGTTTCCCAAGTCTCTAGTCCTTCAGGAGACCACAGAATCAGGAGCTATGGGACCCTCCTTGCCTAGAGCTGACTCGACCATTCTATGAAATCCCAGGCCTGGTTCTCCAAGGGCAATACAATGAAGCAGACCCCAAAAATCAAGCCCTGGAGCATGGCCCATCTGTCCCTCATCACATACCCCACAACAGGGCCACATAGCAGGGCCAACTCACCTTGAACTTGAAGTCATCCTGGCTGGCTGAGCCCTTCATAGTGAAAGACTGCGAGAAGCTGCAAGGAGTATGAGAAGACCAAGCTGAATTTTCAATGCTGAATATTTTTCAGACACCTGGCCTCCCCCATCATCTGGTCTTGTTGGGTCACCTCCTACTCCTCAGCACTCATTCCCCATCAGATGACTTACTCTTCATTCCCTGCTAGTCTGGGAAATGTTTATGCTCCCTCACAACAGTTAGACACCACAGGAAAGCTTAGATGGGACTATATCCATTCTTGAGGTCCCAACAAGTGGCACCAGACTCCCTACCACACCACAGACACTATCAGGTCAGGCACAGTCTGCCAAGTCAGTGCTAAGCTGGGTGCTCACCTCCCATCTGAAGCCAGGCTGAATTCGGAGACTTCATCATCTGTACTTGTGTAGCCATTCTCTGTGAACATGGGAGAAAGCACATGAGCAATATGAAGGGGAGCACATCACACCAATTCCCAACTGGACGGGTTGGCAGCAAGGCTCAGGGCAAAGCCCAGGTTGCTGTGAGATGCCATGTCCCATCCTTGTTCACTTAAGTGAACCCATGTCCCATCCTTGCCATCACTTAAGTTCCCTGCCCAGAAGTATCGTCTGTGCAGACGCAGGTGCTGATGCTTGGACAGACATGGCACCTCCAAGTGCTCACCCAGGGTTGGCATAGGCCGGCTAGACTCAAGCCACAGGGAGGAGGTGGAGGTTCCATGGGCAAGGACGCCTGGCTCAAGGAAGGTACCTGCCCAGCCCTTGCCCCACAGTCTGCCTCACCAAAGGTTCCTCCGTCAGCTCCTGGCCCACCTTGCTGGACATTGTGAATCAGAGCTTGCAGCTCAGGGTGTGACTCTGCCTTCTCACGCAGGGCATCCAGGATCACATGGTTCTGCGAAGAGCCGGTCACGTCCGTCTGCCTCAGGCGTCCCTCCAGTAGGCGGATCTGGGCCTCTTTCTGTGCCACTTGCAGCCCCTGACAGGACAGAGAACCATGGTTAGCCCAAAACAGTCACACCGAAGCCCCCATTTCGGTCTTCCATAGAGCATGGGAGCAACCTCCATGCAACGTCCCAGCTTCCCAGCCATGCAGCAGCAAGAAACCCCCGTCACTCTGTCACAAGATGGCAATGAGGTTCCCAGGAGGACCTCGTCACACCTTCCCCAGTCCCCTGCCTCAAGCAGTGCAGTGCTCCCATACCTTATCAATGGAAGCCTTCAGGAAATTATCCAGCAGGAGCCGGGCTTCAGCCAAGGAGCAAGAGCTGATCACCACAGAGGTGTCAGTGGAATCCAGCTCTTCCTGGAGAACAGAATTAGGAAGGGAATTAGATGCAGCACACGAGCCCTGATGCTGGGTGTGGGAAGGGCAGATAGTGGGCACAGTAGCCAGCACTGCTTCACAAGGCTGTTGGTGGCACCTCTGCCACACCTCGGTCTGGAATCATTCACTCTTGACTCTCATTTACTCCAGTCTTCCCAAGTGACTGTTGGGATCTAGACATCAAGACTCACATCAAAGCCTGAATAGCTTTGGCACTGCCTCTAGCATCTTGGTGCAGACACTTAATTCAGCTAATTTGCAGGCACCAGCCTCACCCAGATTCAGACCTCAAATCACCAGTTCAAAGTCTGGCTTATATTAACAAGAGTCTCTTTTCCCCTGCTCACTCGTGTGACACAAACCTGGGGACAGCACAAGCACCTCCTGTCCAAGGCTACAGCCACTAGAGGGGAGTGGCGAGTCGGGAAGCCATCCCATGCATCCAGTATCAAAACCAGGATGTGTGTGGGTTTTGTTTGTTTTGTTTTTTTTCCTATTCTCCTCTCCTCTCTCACTGGGAGAAACGTTGATCCTCCCCAAGGAAGCGTTTTTTTTTTTTTTTCTCTTCTCCTGTCTTCTCTCACTGGGAGAAATGTTGATCCTCCCCAAGGAAGTATCTCATGCAGGCCTTACAAAGGATTGCAAACTCCCATGAAGATGAGTGACCATCAGTCTTTGGGGAGGCCACAGGCTGTGGCTTTCCCACGTCTCTCAAAGCAAGGAATGAGGCATCTGGACCGTTGGGTTCATTTCCTAACCCTGCTGCTGAGTTCCCACTGACTGAGCCTGGAGGAGGAGCAAGGAAAGAGCCTGGCTGCCCATCCTGCCCATGGTGGCAGATGCCTCCTTGCAGAGGTGTTAGGAAGCTGCAAGCACCTGGCAAAGCTCTCACTCACAGTTAACCACACTACATGATGGGCTGGTGCAACATCTCAGTGTCAGTATTTACATCATCGGCCTAGAGGAAGAGGCCAGACATACAACCTGGGCAGGCCATAGGGATGCCTTGACCTCCCAGGGATGCTCCCCGCTCTGCATGCCCACCTGTACTTCTGCAGGCTGAGCCTGGTCCACTTGCCCACCTTGGTCTCCTCAATCTGCATGATGGTAGCCTGGCAGTCAGAAATGCTGTCGTTGATGTAGTCTATGTTGGCCCCCAGCACCTCAATCTCCTCATTCAGCTCCTGCAGGCCTTTTTGCTCCTTGGGGCTCTCTGCTTGTAGTTTCGTCCGCTTGCCAAGCAATGCCTCCTGCAGCAGCGCCAGCTCCTCCCGTTTCTGTGGGGAGAAAAGGAGGTGGGTTGGCACTGTCAGCATGGCTGTCCCCCCTTCCTGCACCCACTGCCCAGTCCTCTCCATCACCAGTGCTGTTCATTACCTTGATGAGCCGCTCCATGTCGGCCTCCAGGTTGACGATGGTCATTCTCTGCATGACTATGTCAAAAATGCGTCGTTCCAGAGACTGCCATTTGAGACGGGCAGCCTTACTGAAGGTCTGGCTTGACCCCTTCTTAGGGAACTTCTTTCTACAGCCAAAGGGGAGAAAAGGGGTCAGGGCACCAGCCATACCTTCCTGGAAAGCTGCGTTTTCCCCTAAAGGATGTCCTGGCTCTGGCTACCCCGAGGTGGAGGAGGCATCTGCATCATTTTTGGATGACTCGGATCTGCTGTCACCTTTGCCTGCGCTCATTAACTCTATTCACTTCTTGGCAGAGGCAAGAGACTGCCAGATCATTACAGCAGGGCTGAACCTGGCAGAGTTTGTGCCATTGACAGTAACACTTCTAGGCGCCCAGTGTTGGGCTCAAGTTCAGGCAATGGGTAGTCACACGCTGCCAGTCTAATCTACCACAAGATCAGCAACTTGGCACAAGCCAAATGTGAAATAAAGAGCTACACTTCAACTCCTGCTCCCAGCTATAAGCCACGTCTGCTATCATGGGGATCCTGGGAACTTATCACCCACCCTGTGCAGCCCCAGCTCAGCAAAGCCAGACCCTCTCCATCCTGACCTGGCAGGCCGAGTTCCGTTCATGGAGGGCGAGGGATCTCCCAAGAAGTTATTGATTTTCCGGTTCCACTGGCGCACGATGCTGGAAACTGAGCGAGCTCCGGATTCAGGCTCTGAAGAGGTGGTGCTAGCTGAGACCTCCGCACCAGAGTCCAGCATTGCCGGCTTCTGGCTCATCCTGCCTGCGACTCGGTCCGACATGGGCTTGGCGAGACGGCGCAGAGCTGAAACCTACCCAGAACAAGGCAGAGGAACGTCTATATCAAACAGGCATCCCTGGCCAAACCCAGCTTCAGCAACCTCTACTCTCTGCAGAACCAGGATGAGCAGCAGCTCTAAAGAGAACCAAAGCTTCAAGACACAGATGGGTGCTTCAGATAGCAAAGCCACGATGGGAAATTAGCCCAGGCTAAGCAGCTCTAATGGAAGTTTGAGCCCTGCCCTGGGGGCATTTGTGCAACTCTACAGACAGCGCGCAGAGGATTGCTTCCTCCTGACTCACATTCATCCTCCTGCTGCCTGAGATCAGCTGCCCCAAGAGATGGGAATTTCCTCTGCTGGCCACAGTTGTCTTCCACCTGGTTACTCACAGCCATAAACACCTTACCAGTCCTTTGGGAAATGTAACCCCAGGGCTAACATTCTCCAAATGGCTGGTTGTCTCCAAGTCAAGTACTTGGGTTGCCACCCCAATGGAGGTGGAGATGGTTCCTGTCAGCCCCAGAGAGCTCCCAGAGGCCCCTGCCCCAACAGAGGTGACTGTCACTCTCTTACCTCCTGGGTTTTCCTTCGCAATACTATTTCCTGCTGCCGCTTCTGAGACTCCAGAGCCCGGATCTGAAACTGAGCACGAGAGAAAAAGATGCCTTGAGTCTTAAAGGGAAGGGAGGGCTGCCCAAACACCCTAGCAATTATCTCAGTCCTCAGGTCCCACCACTGAAGCCAGGACATGGTGTAATTCCATACTGGGACCAGATTCTTGAACAGTTGTTTGGATGTGAACAGAGTCACTCCTGATTTTAACAGAGAGCAGGTTTATAGCCCCCTTGGTGGCACACTCCCTTCTGAGCAGGTGAGGAGCCCACAGCATCTCTGATAACCACACTGGGAGCTGCAAGTAGGCCTTGAGGACATAGCTGCTCAATCAGGTGTCCTGTGCCAAGTGCTGTGCTGCTCCTTACAAGCAAATGGGTGCAGCAGTGTCTCAAGTTTCACTGATATTTTTGAGCACCCCAAAGTGCCAGAGCAGGACAAGAGTTGACTTTCCTACAAAGCCCAGTGCTCACTGCGCTGAGACACCTAGTATGACACAGGCTAGTTGGACAGAGCTCCGACCTCTTGCCGACGTTGCTCCTTTTTGAGCTGAGCAATCTCCCGATTCCTCTTAGTCTCCACCAGCCGCCTCCGCTGCTGTTCCTCCCGCATCTGCTTCATCAGAGCGACCTGGAACAGAAGGATGCTGTCTGCCAAGGCACGAGCACCCAGCAGTGCAGCAAGCAGAAAGCCACCCTGTGCTTGCTACCAAGCATGAAAACATTCCTCTTGCTCTGTCAAGTAGAGAATATTTCTCCCTTGAGCAGAGTTGCACCTACCCACTTGGCTATGCCAGTCTCAGCTTCATTACTACACTGGAAAACTCCCAGGCCTGGGCACACGGGATGCCCTCCCCATCCCAGCACATAGCAGCCACCCGCCTGGGTACCTTTGCCTTCTTCATCTCGGCCACCTCTGTCTGCAGCTTCCTCAGTTCCCGTTCGTAGCGGGACTGGTTCTTCAGTAGCCGAGCGTGCTCCTTCTGGGCTGCCTGGAGCTTCTGCAGGTCCCGGTTCATCTCCTTCAGTCGTTTCTCATAGTCTGCCTTGATCTTGTTGGCTTTCTCCTCTGTGTAGCACTCCATGGTGCCTGGAGAAGTGCGGAGAGGGACTGAGATGCTCTCACAGAGGGGCACTGTGCTCTCGTCTTACCAGATCTTTCTTTATCCCCTCTGCTCTGACCTGGGGTCTGTCTGGAGGCACCATTCAGGATAGCAATTTATGCTGCAATTGCAAAGGGCCATAGAAGAAGCCATGGAAGTGGGTCTACAGCTGTGTGAAGCTTGCCTATGTGATCCATTATCTGCTGAGCCTCAAGATCACTTAGACTGTTGGGTCTTTTGGGTATATTTGTGTGCCTCAGTTTCTCCAAATATCTTACAGGACCCCATATCCCAGGAAGCAGTGTCCAAGGATAGAAAAGGCACTACCTCTCCTTCCCCTCCAGTCACCTCTCTAGCACCACATGAGCTTTCCAGGGGACTAGTCCTGCTCCCACATGACTGTGTGGAGGGGTGTATGCGTTGGCTTGGAGTTGTGGACACTAGGCAAAAAGGGAGATTAGGAATGGGATCCCATGAGGAGAAATAGTTCTCACTGAGGTTTTGCAGAACACGGTCCCGCTCCAGCTGTGTGTCCCGGATCTTGTTCTGCAGTAGGATCAGCTTTTCCTCGTATTGATGCTTGAGGGTTTGCAAACGTCGCTGGCTGTTCTCCAGCTCATCGATCAGCTTCTGCTTGATCTCTATCTCACATGTCAGATCCGCCAGGTCAGCCTGAAAATTTACAGCTGGAGGCCAGGAGGGATAGTCAGGCAGGGAGGAACTGAGGACAGGATCATTCCCACAACCCCACTGATTCATAGTGCAAAGAGAGGACAGAAGGAGCTGAAGAGGAAGGGGTGCAGTGCACACTGCTGAGGAATAGCAGCTTCCCAAAGAGCCCTGGACACCCTCTGTAGCAACATCTCCTGGATGAGATGTGGCCCAGGGTCCCATCAGACTCCCCCTTCCTTAGTGGCAGGACGCCATAGCTAATATAGCCCCAGATACCAAGATGCTCATGCCACTCTGAACTTTACCCTTCTCCTCCGCATCTGAGTCCGAATCTACCAGGCTCTCTTCGCTCCCCGAGTCCTCATCTTCATCCTCACGCCCATCTTCTTCCTCACAGCCGCTCTCATCTTGTTCCTCCTCCTCCTAAAAGGAGAATGCCAGGCCTCAACTTGCAGCACGACCTTGTCCTTCTCTCTGCTGCTTCTCCCCATCTCCAAACCAGTGCTTATCCCTACAGCAAGGGGCTGTGGCCTCAGCAACAGGCCTCAGCCTCCTCAAGAGGGTATATGGAGGCTGCAACATGCAAGCTGGAGCCCCCAGTGTACACAGCAGAGATGGGCAATTCTGTGCCTTGGGCCTGCCCCATGCTTGCGCTTCTCGCAGCGGAGCAGCACTGCATCACCCCACATCCTTTCACTGACACAGGATAAAACAGAACCTAAAAGGACACTGGTTCCTTGCTGCACAATGGCTGTGGAGCATCCCAATCCTTACTCTTGCTCCTGTCTGTATGGAGTCCCTGGTATCTCCACCACCCACCCAAGTTTCATCGCAGGGCCAGGCTAGTCCTTGATCCTCACCTCCTCAGCCTCATTCTCATCAGTCTCCTCCCCGTTGTCCTGCTGCAGCTTCGGACGCTTTTTAAATGCTTCCTTCTCAGGGCTGGTGGAGAGAAACAGGAAGGCTGGAGTGAGTCTCTGCAAGGGGGAGCCTGGGAAGGGTCCGAAAGAGCCATCACTGCTCCCCTCCCACATCCTTTTGCTTTTGACCTGTCTGGGAAAGCAACATCTAGATGTGTGTGATGCCTGAAAGAGATATCAAGGAGGCGGCAGTTGTGGGGAAGGCAGTGCATGGCTCGGGGTTCCCTGTCTGTGGTCACTGGCGAGGATGGGGAGAAGAGGGTACACAGCCGGTCCTGCAAGGTCAGATAGGATTGACATGCAGCCACCTGCTGTGTCCCACAGGACCTGACCTCTTCCTCTGCTGCCTTCTCTCTTTCTTTTTCAGACGCTCCAGGTCTTGCTTAGCCCGTCGGAGGACATCAGAGGCCTCCGTCTCCAACGCAGCAGCAGGGCTGCTCAGGCCGGCCAGGCCAGGTGCTGGGGATGAGCCCACGGAGTAGGGGGGTCTGGTGGAGACACGTGAGAGGCTGCGACGCAGCGACTCATTCATGGACTCACTCTCCAGGAGTTTGGTCCTATTGAGGAGAGACAAGATGTGGTCAAAGAGCAGGATACCCTTATCAAAAGAAGATGATGTGTCTGGCTTTTAAGAAGGCAAAAGTCAGGCACAGACACACTACCCAACCATCCCCACTCATCTTGGGCTAAAAGGCAAGGACATTGCAAACAGGGAGCACCTGAGGGAAATGTGAAACAAGCGGAGGTACCCGGAGTCAGCAGTCCCTAGGAAACATCAAGTCCTGCCAACTCTTCTCTTCTTCTACTGATGGCCACAGAATGTATAACTACGTCCATAGTAGTGCCCAACACTGAAACTGGGATTCACACTGCTCAGGAGATGCCAGCGGTCTCAGCAGCTACTCCACTGAGACTTACACCTTCCTCAGCCTTAACCCTTCCTAACAAACCACCTTCCCAGCGGTCCTTCCGAGCCATGACTAGCTCATGACATTGGCAAGGAGAAGAGCAGCACCTGGGCTCAGACCCAGTCTCTGCAGGTAGCAATGTGGTGTCCTGCATGCCACAGTACCCAGGTGACAAGTGCTAAACACAGTAGTTCTCACTGTCTTCAGCAGTGAGTAGAAGGGGAGAACAACAGAACTTGACTCACCTCAGCTCTTCAATCTCTCGAATGTAGTTCTGGATGAGGGCACCAATGGCTTCGTTGCCATCGCCTGGAGGAGGCAGAAGCTCAGGTCAGTCAAGGCAAGACACAGGCCCTGACATGGACACCATGGGCCTATGTGTGGGTTGACTCCCTGCACTGCATGTGCACAGCCTCACCTGCTTTAGCCAGCATCAAGTTAGCCTCCTGGCTCATGAGATGCGTGACTCTGCTGTTGATGGCATCAATGGCCTCCTGCATGGCTTTCACTCGCATGCGCAGTGTGTTGTTCTCCTTCTGGAGCATGGCATTCTCGTGGAAAAGGTCACTGTAACCTTCTGAGCCATCCTCCCCGATGACTCGCTTGCCCTTTGGGGACAGGAGAGGAGCCCTTGAGCACAGGATGTACTAGAATGTAGGGCCACACCAGGAGCATGCCTGGGGTCAGATGCAATCCCTAAAGTAGGCTCACGGAGAATGTAGGGATCCCAAGAAAACCTGAGCAAAAACCCCCAAAAGGAAATGGCATAGATGGAGGGTTGGAGATGTTAAAGGCTTCTCCCTGCCTCAACAGCTCAAAGATTTATCCAAGGTCCTACATGTGACAGGGCAGGAATTAAACTCCCACCCCCAGTGCCTGAAGCACATGCACTAACCACTATGCCAGCCTTCACAGGGGCCTGCAGTGGGGACATAAATGACTTGGCACAAGCCATTCACCAACCAAGAGCTAGCTTTTATGGAGAGCAAAGCAGCAAGAGCTGGACAGATGCACAAGGGCAAAACAAACCTTGAAGTAATCTCTTAGAAAAAAAACTCAGAAAAAACTTCCCTCACCATTAACAGCAAACTGTCATTTTTACAGACTTTCAGTATTTTGTTATAGCTGATTTTCTCAACACCACGTTGCCACTGAAACGTGGCATCTCTGGAGCAGTCAACTGTCCACAGAACCTGCTCATGGGGAAGTGGGGCTATGTAATGGGGCCATATAAGAACTACTTATCCATAGTGTGAGAGTGTGATGACCAGGAGGGTCCTGCCTTCTAAAATGGCCCCAGTTCAAACATGAGGAGGATTCTTTCTGCTTCTGAATCAATCCCACCTTTACAGCGGCCGGCTGTTTACTCAGTCACTCACCGCCTTGTACTCCATCAGCTCCATCTGGAGTCGAGCAATCTCAGCCCGCAGGGCGCTGATCTGCTGGCTTGTCTTGTCTTGGTTCACCACCACTTTGTTCTTGATGTTGCGAGCCCGGTTTGCATATTTGAGCGTGTTCAGGGTCTCCATGAAGTCCCGGTCAGATGGGCTCACGCAGGCAATCATGATGGTTTGGCTTGGGGAGATGAAGGTCAGAGTGAGGTGACAGTTTCTCCTGCTCTATGCCAACCTGGCAGATGAATCCTCAGGTTCAGTCATGTTCAATGATGGGCTTCCCCCAGGAACCAAAGATCACTTGTATCCAGACACCCAACCTAGGCCCTTCTTTAATTCATAACCAAGATATAAACCAGGTTCAATACCTCTCTGAGCCAGAATCCATATCTACCACTGTACCTGCACAGCATTAAGCATCATGAAGCAAAATCCACTACTCCAAAACTGCCTCGCACATGTAAAGCTTTATAGAAAAGAATGGATCATTGGATCCAGACACCCAACCTAGGCCCTTCTTTACTTCATAACCAAGATATAAACCAGGTTCAATACCTCTCTGAGCCAGAATCCATATCTACCACTGCACCTGCACAGCATTAAGCATTATGAAGCAAAATCCCACTACCCAAAAATTGCCTCACACACGTAAAGCTTTATAGAAAAGAATAGGCTCTTCAAACAGATACAGTCAAAGCAGGCAGGAAATGAAAGCTGTCAACAGATACAGTCAAAGCAGGCAGGAAAGCTGTGCCATGCTGGGCAATGCCATGTGCTAACTGTCAGAGCAGCAAAGTCTCTTGCAATTTTGCCGAAGTTGGCTAATTGTATCTGGATTTGGGAGCAGGTAACGTATTAAAATCTGCAAAGTCAAGCATTGCTTGCCCCAAGGCATCCCCTCCACACTGGGCAACCCATAAGGTGTCCGAGTCCTGATACAGCTCCCACACAGCTACACAGACCCTCAACCCTTTGAACATGGGGACATCTCCCCACAATTCTCCCACTGGGGTCAGCCCCCTTCGCTATGGTCCATGTCAGTCCCAGCATCCCTTACCTGTTGCCCCCGAGGGAATCCTGCAGCAGACGAGTGAGTTTGGAGTCACGGTAGGGAACGTGCACAACTTTCTTGCTCTGGTCTCCGAGGGCGCTAATGACATTCCCCAAGGCCAGCTGCCAATGCAAAGGAAAGTATCCCCCCAAATTCAGCCTCTGCTGGGAATATGGTTGTCACATTCCCAGCATTTCAGGCCTGGGGTGAATGATGTGTCACAGATTTGGGGTGCAACAGATGCAGGCACGTGGGTTCCTTTGCCCATTCCAGTATTCACCCTCCTTCCTTGGGCTGTGCCTCACACTCCCATGTTGTATCAGGGCACTGAGGAACAGCAGTGAACCCTGAAGTTGTTTTTAAGCTCAAGTTACTGTATTTCTACCTTTTGAGGACTGGTACCCCTGTTCCTCTGTACTCCATCATCACAGTTCAGTTATCGCCACATTCTGCCCTTGGCAAAAGGGCTGTGCACTCCTCATTGGCATTCTGGATCATGGATAAACCATGACATGGAAGCACAAACCATGATAGATGTAAAAGCAGCTCTGAGAGGGACCCCAAGCTGTCCCAGGCTTTTCCAGCCAGGCCCTGCCTCCCCTGCCCTCCGCGTGCTGACCTCCCCAGGGCCATACCAGCCCACAGTTGATGGAGATGCCTTCCTTTGCTCTCTCTCCTGTTGCACCCGTTCGCTTCAGCCTCTCCGAGCCGGCCAGGTCGACAAAGTGAAACTTGGCTGTGAGGGTCTCGTACTCCGTGGGCTGGGCTCCATCCGGGAGGCCGGTCACCTGCCCGTTCACCTACAGACAAGCACATGCAGACAAACACACACAAGGATTGCCCACCACAGGCCTGGAGTGGCCAGGAAACTCCATAGCCATAGTCAGCAAGAACCGTTGTGTTTCCCCTTGGCATCCACTCCTTTGAAAATCAGGGAAAAGGATACCAAAAGCAGCTTACTCTGGGACATCCCTTGGGCCACACCACCCCTGCCTGGAATGGAGCTGCTCTGCACAGACCTTTAATCTCGTGAAATGCTTATGTTTGCTTTAGCTGAAAGGAGACAATACACAGCCCACACTCTCCAGCTTTAAGACTCCAAACTCTCTTGTCTTTCCAGGGGAGCCTCTGCACATTGCCTGGGTATCAGAGTTGGGAACAGCCCGACCAAGAGACAAGCGCTGCCAGACCTCCCTGCATCTCACCATTTCGGGGTGGGTGCACACTCTCATCTGGCACAGATGGATGGTGAAGATGGCATGAGATCTGGAGCTCTGCACATTCATTTGGGTACTGGCGGTGGTGCGGGAAAGAGCCCCTTGCTTCAGGCACTGGATCAGCTGCAACAGTACCATGGAGGAAGAAACAAAACCTTTAAGTTCCCCTCTATAGTTGACCAGAACACTCTTTACAGATCTGTAGCACAGGGCTACCGAAGACCTGCCCCACGTATCACCCCATGTAACTATCCCAGATGAGTGTCCCCATCCTCGCCCTAACGCCTCTGGGTGGTGTGTCTCCCACCTGTAGGACCTGTCTGAATGTCCTCTTCTGTACCCACCTCATCCTGTGAGCTGATGAGGCGAGACGTGACTCCCGTGGTGTAGATGCTCCCATTGGCATCCTCATGGATTTTGATGTTGGATTTGCGGTGGCGAGCATCAGGGTCACGGGTGCTGTCAAACAGGTCCAGAATCTCTTCATTGTACAGCTGAGAGGGACGAAAACATTTACGGGATGAGTAACAGTGAGCAGGAGGCTGGCAGAGCCTGGCATGGCAGAAGTTACAGGAGCTACCATGTGCCCTCCAACTGTTGAGGTCCCAAGAGCTGGGAGGAGAGCTTGTATGTGGGCATCCATGTGTCTGTGTTATTGCATATGTGCACACATGTATGTGTCTATATGCACTTGTGCATGTAGGAAAGGATAACCAGGAGTGCTAGTGTGAAGATGTGTGCAAGGGCAGGAAAATGTGCGTTGTGATGTGTTTATGTGTGTACATGTGTATAGCAGATAACACACAGGCAAGCTTGTGTGTGTGTGTGTGCATGTGCAGCAGATACACACACAAACTGGCACGCATGCTGCTTTGGAGAAGAGGCCGTGCAGGAGAGCTGCTGTGTGCACACTTAGGAGAGCATCCACACCTCTGCAAAGCTCTCGGCTGCACTTCGGTCCCAGCTGCCAACCTCATCCTGGCCCTGGCTCACACAAGCAGCTGTGTGGGAACCAGAAGACTTTCAGAGCCCTTTCCAGGGAGTCTAAATGTACACGCACAAGTTACACAGCCCTTGACCTTTCCTGATTACTCAGCAGAGATGGGGGGACTCCAGTGCCTTCCACCTCAGACGGGAAGGATTCAACGCAACTTATGCCATAACCTTGCTTCTCTCTCCCTCATGACTTCACAACCCTGTCCATCCTCCCAGGCTGCTCCCACACATCTTCCTCCCCCTAATACTTGCATCCCTCTTTCCCAGCTCTTCTTTTCTTCCATATAGTGCCAAAATTCAGCTAGTGAAATACTACAGCCTGTAGCAGCCACTTCAGCCATGCAGATGATTCAGGCACAGAACTCGATCATCCAGGCTCTTTGAGCAGACTGATGCTGTGAGATCTCACCCTGCATGGTCATGATCACTGTCTCTGGCCTTGAAGATCCTGTTTTTGTACTGCTCATAGAGAGAAGGCAGCACAACATGGGCTGTCACCCCTGTCCTGACTCAGAGAAGGAGGTCACCTGAGGACTAGAGATTCCTGGCCAGTAGAGCAAATCAGGGCTAATCTATACCCTGCTGCCCCCGGTTCAAAAGAATTCCAGGAGCATTTAAACCTCCCTCTAACAATTCTGCTCCCAGCAGTTACAGGACAGGGATCAGCAGAGCCAAAACCTGTTCCCTTGCTGGGATGGCAGTTTCAGTAAACAGCCTCTTACCCAGCCACATGCCCATACTGCACAAGGTGGCTGTTTTGGCCACAAGATTCTCCACAGGATGCCTGGCCCAGGGTGTATTTAAGGGCAGGTACTCAAGCAAAGGCACAAGATCTGTCCTGGCTTAATATTTTCCCTGCAGGCTGGGTGGTCTGGTGGGCAGAGTCCTCAGCAGGCTGGAACTGCCTTTCTCATTGGCTTTTCAGCAATGGGTTTTAACTCTCACCAGACATAACAGAGCCTCTGGAAAGCCTTAAGACCCCCAGCTGGCAGGCAGAATGGTTCTGCATGTTACCATCTATGCTAGAGATGGCCCTTAGGGCTGCCTGGGCTCAGCTAAGCATGGATGCAAACGGCTTTGAAAAAAACCAGTATAATTTGTTTGGAGGAAACCTTGTCCCCATCTGTCACCGCACACCCTTGGGACCAGCAACACTGCAACTCCTCTCCCCTTCAACCTAAAGATCTCCAAGGCTATTTCAATAAAAATTCCAGTAAAAAATACCAGGGCTAGAGGGGTGGCAAAAAGAGAGAAAATAAACAAGAAAGCCCTGTGGCAGCCAGAGCTGACCGAAGCAAAGCCACTGCTCCATCATTCACCTCCCTTCTCCAGGTCTATTTGCAATTGTGTTGGACCTCGTTGTGCTCTACAGGGCTGCCTGCAAAGATGGCTGAGAGATGGCTGGGGATTGAAGGATCCCCAGCAGCAATCCTCTCCAAAGCTTTTCCTGCACACTTCCAAGTAGCAAAACCCCAACCCTAGCTAACAGGTCGCCCAGTACCCTGGGGCAGTGTGGGGTCATCCTGATGAGCAAGCAGAAAAAAAAAAATTGAGGAAGGGAAACTATGACTGGACACCAGAGAAGATTTCCTGAGGAGCAGACCTGGGCGGCTGACAAAGGAGGGGAAAGGATGTCACATGGTGGAAGGGGTTGAGGAAAACAACATCCAAACCTACAGCGCAAGGAAGACTGGTCTTTATTCCAAACTGGGGGATTAAGGGAGCCCAGTGACCCCTGAACCTCCTACCCCTCCCCAGGAATCTAGACATGAGCAGGGGGAAAAGTTTTTCTCCACAGGGAAAATATATTCACACCGGAAAGCTATTTCTCCACAGCCAAGACAGCGTCACCACCAGGCACCTTGTGTGTGGTCCTCACAAGGTCACCAATGCTCTGGTGCTCTGCCCTGGCTCATGTGGGGAGCAGCTGGGACACGCAGAACTCGAGGAGACCAGGACACAGGCGCTGTGCAAAGGACAGTCCCCCCAACAACGTCCCTCCTGGTCCTCCATCACCCACCTCCAGGAACTGGGCGCTGACTTTGAACTCGGGGGCTGCCATGCCCTGGCTCTGCGCAGTCCGCTTGCGCTCCTCGATGCCACTGAAGAGATGGCCGATGGCCCGGGGGATGATGCCCTGCTCGTCCTCGGAGATGTTCATATCAAAGCCAGTGCCCATGGTGTACGTTTTCCCTGCGCCAGTCTGCAAAGAGGGAATGAGAAAGAAGCCAGCTCAACCCATAGTGCCCCACACCTGCCCATGCTACCCCTTGGCTTCCCAAACTCTGCTGGACTCCTCTGATTCCCTCTCTCCCCTACTCTACTGGTACCCAAGCCATATAGCAGTTGTGCCTCCCCTTCTCCTACCCATGGTCATCCTCCAACCTGGCTTCCACATGGACCAGGAGCAATCCTCCATCCCTCTCCACAGCCAAGGGATTTAACACCCCCGCTGTCCCCTACCCTGCACAGGTGTCACACTCAGCAAAGAGCTGACACTCAGGGCTCAAGAGAGCCCAGCGTCCATCCCAGAGTCCCAGGAGGAGGCAAAGCAGGTACCTGGCCATACGCCAGCACCGTGGCATTGTAGCTCCTGCCACGTGTCCAGGTCAAAGACAAAGTCATAGGTAAAGGCCTTGTCTTTTCCTAGAAGCACTTGAGGTTCTCCGGGTGTCACAGAGGTGCAGATGTGGCATCCCTCAATCTTCTCTTTGGACAGCTGGGGACGGATCCTGCAGGAGGAGAAACAGGGTGAGAACTGCCTCATGACTTACCTGAGTGCCTGGTCCCAGGGAACCTGAGCATGGTTCTTCATTGCAACTTGGCTGCTGCAGGAAGGGGGTTGATAGCACTGCTGTGTGCAGGTCGAAGCAAACAGCACACGATGCACAAGGGATGTTCTCCTGGAGTTCTGCTCCCCTGCCTGGATCTGCTTGCCCCAGCGACAATCCTTATCTGTTTGTGGATGAGAAACAGGCTTGGTGGATGGCAGCAATGCCACCAGCCACCTCCACAAGCTAGAAGAGAGGCAAGGCTGGGCAGTTCCAGGGCGAAAAGAAAGCAGGCAGCCCACACCTAAAACTTTTCCCTTGCACCAAGAGCTAAATACGGCTCAGCACAGCCCCTATCAGGCCAGCCAGCTCCCCTGTTCCCACATCAGCTCGCTTGCTATCACTATCAGCTTGCATCAGCTAGTCCCTGGCTAGGCAGTGAGCTCCAGGCTGCACATAGGCAGGAATCAATTGCAGGAGCCCTAACGGGGCTGCTGGAGCACGGGCACATAGACAGGATGCATCTCAGCGTCAAGCCACCCATCCTGCCTGCAACGTGGGAGCTCTCACTCAGGAAGCAGCAAGCTCAAGCTGCAGCTATGAAGGCCTCACTTACAAAATCACAAGGAGACAGCCCCAGCACCAAAACAACCATCTGAAATAAACCACCGTCCATTCTGGTAGCTTACTGAAACCAAGGAGTCAGCAGATGAAACTGGGACAACAAAGCTGCACTTGACTCCTGACTCTGCCTGCAAGCAACAACTACCTGCCTCGTTCCTGCCCTCCACCTGCCCAGACCTTCAGCTACACCACGGCAGACCGAAAGAGCTGTGAAGCTGACTATGGAAATGCAGCTCTGCCGGGTGATGGAGACCAGCTTTTGATGAGACTGGGAGGAAGCTTCGGGTTTCAGGGGATCACGTTGGCAGCGGGAAGCTGGTGAGTCCCAAGGGACTTGCGGAGAAAGAAGGAACACAAAGCCAAATATGCTGGCAAATGTCCTAACTCTCATTAGGGCTAATGACTGCATATCTCCCTTCCCTAGATGCTTCATAAATACATCAATTAATTCCTCCTAAGCCACATAACTAGCAGGACGGGATGCAGACCGCAGCAGACGCTTTGCGGATCAGGACTCCGCTTTCATTCGCACAACACAGCAGGCCTTGCCGAGCTATCTGGCAGCAAACCCAAAGCCCTAAAGACCAAAACCATCCACATTTTGGCTGGAGGCGATTCCACCCCTGCACAGCCTGCACGTGGCTCATGGATCGCACCGGAGGACGAGGCCGATGGGAGGAAGCGTGGGCATCATGCATCCCGCAACCAGGAGTCTTGGCTAGCAGGCATGTGGGAACGGCTCTTCCCTATATATGTACGAGGGTATATTTAGCTCAGCAGCCACAATAAAAAGCAGCTTCTGGTGTGCTCAGCGATAGACTGCACTAGTCCCACCCTCTCCCAGGAAAATTAACCCAGCAATTCCTAATTACTTTTTGACCATCACGTTTCACTCCCCTCCTTTATCCCTCTACACACATAGCGACATCGTCCCCAGGGAAGGGGGAGCGGAACAAACTGAAAGCAGGGTATTTTTGGAAAGTTTCTGTCTCTAGCAAAATGAGCGCAGGGTTTTCAGCAAAATATGTCTCTCCCACCCAGAAGTGATTAAATACGTGCATGCATGTGAGCTTGGAAGACAGGATGAGCGGGACAGTTGATGCATGTGTGTGTATGTGTGCGCAGGCATTTTCCATAGCGTGGAAACCACGTTAAGCCTGACCACACTGTGCTGAGCTTTTCCAGCTGTCCACATACCAGTGCCATCACCAGATGTCTCCCCCACTTTGACTCTTGTAATTGGCTGTCCAAATGCATTGGCCAGCTCCAAGCGCCCACAGGAACCTCATCCATCACCCCAAATCCCTGCACATGGACTCAGGGGGCCAGAGGGGACTTGGGCATCAGCCCAGACGTCAAAGCAACTGCACTTGAGCTGTCCTGTCGCTCCACAGCAACTGAAGGCCCCGGTGCTCACTCCCGTGCTGGAGCTCCCTGCATGGAGCACATGGAAGCCCAGGCTGCGGTGTGGGCTCCGTTTTCCAGGCAATCGGCCAAGCGTCACCCACTCCAGCTGACAGCAGCTGCCACCCGGGCTGTGAATACTGGGGCCTCCCAGCTGTGACAGCAAGACAAAACAGAGTAGGAGGGCCAGAATGAGAGCGCCGTGCGCCAGCAACCCTGGCAGACACCGTGGGCAGTGACAATAAGGCCTGGCCCTTCATTGCATGGTGCAGAGATGTCTAGGGGAACTGGCTGTCACCAGCAGCCCTGCCACCCAGCATCGCAGGAGATTTACACGGCCACCAAGAGACACTGAATAGGATTTGCTGGTGTAATTGATCCTCCTGCTCCTGAGTGTTATAGGCCCAGCTCACCACCACTGGGAGAACTGGCTACAATCCATGCTCTTCCAGCAGGAACATCTCCATTCCAGGCAGTGGGCAACACAAGACCTGGCTGGGCCAGACTTAAGTGGCAGAGGAAAATCCCACCAGGATCAATTCAAGACTGCAAAGAGCTCAAACAACCCCATCCTGAAACATGGTCCAGGACCCCAAACCAGGGCAGTTCCAGCACCTCCGCATTGGCACCTTGCCCTCATCTGCAATCCGTGGCGGCAGAAGCAGACTGTATTTGTGGGTAAAGCCATGAACAGGCAGCACAAAAGCAAATATGCTCTAAGGACCTGGATACCCAGCACAGGTTCTTCCTTCAGTCCTGTCATCAGCCCCATCAGGTGATATTCTGCCTCAGTTTCCCTGTTCTGTAGCAGAGATGAGCAACTTTGATAGTAGGGTGAGAAAATCATAAAGTCACTATATCTAGATTGGTTCTGGTGCTTCCTATCACTACCTCTATCGAAAAGGAAGCTTCCCATGTCCTGTCTGTCCATGAGCACTGGGAGAACTGAGGGTGATGCTGTCAGGAGCTCAAACTTAAGGGTGACAGAGCTAGTGCCTGTGGACACTGCCTGGTTTTAGGCCTGGTTTTAGGCCTGAGTGCATCCAGAGCTCTTGTTTACTAGGGTCCTGCAGCTGCTCCCTAATGTAAGTCTGTGCCTTTCATGCACTCCCTTCAACCACGTTCCCATTGGCTGGCATGACTCTTCTGCCTGTGGTCATGGGTGCCAGGTGAAGGGACAACTTTTGCCTATGATCAAGGCCCATGACAGAGCCAAATGAGCCACAGTCTGCTCACCCACAGCCCAGATTCCTATGTCTATTTGGCAATTAGGGGCTTATCTTCTAAGCAGCACCCAGAATAAACCAGATCTTAACTAGCAGGGAGCTCCTCATTGTTCCCCAGCTCAGAAGGGATTAAAGTCCAAGCTTCACAGAGCAGGTTGTGCCAAGCAGCCTCTGCTTGAAGCTATTTGCTCTGGGGTGATAGGGGTTGCCCCAAGGCCCAGCCAGGAAGAGCAACCCCAGTCCTATCTCACCCTTCCCCAAACTGATAAATGTGCCCTGGGCAAGGCAAGGCACGGTCAGAAAGCAGGCAAAGGACACTTAGCATGAGGAGATAGATGGCAAAGAGGTAGGAGGAGATCACCGGCCACCCATCCATCCGCCTATCCATCCACCCGCACACACATCCACACCTTCAGCCTGCTCCCTGCAAACGGATGGTGATGGGAGGCAACCAAACAGAGCAGAGTGCCCTGGACAGAGTCACACAGAGCCCCCCACCAAGCAAGGTTTGCTGCTCCCCGGCCTTGGACCACCAGCACCCAGAGCTGGAGGAACACGGACACACAGAGACAGCGGCACGGGCTGATCCTTCCCAAAGCAGCAGCTCCAGCAGGGGCAGTGACAGAATGGAGCCTGCCTGCTCCATTCCCAGCATCCCAATCCCACAGCAATAGAGGCAATGGATGCCAGGGGGAGCCCGCATCCGGTCTCCGCTGGAGCCAGATTCAAGAGAACAAGAGCCCCAGAGCAGTTTATAAAGACACAGAGGCAGCGCGCAGGGGACCTCGGCAAGGAGCCTCGCCGTCTCTCGCCCTTTTTTCCTGCCTTGCTGGCAGGCTGTGAGGCGCCTGTCCGCACAGCCACGCTGCCATGGCAATGCAGCAGCGGGAAGAAGGGGGGAAGAGGGTGCTGCATCCCACCGGGCCGACGGCGCTGCCGACGCGTGCGCGGGAACGCTGCTCGGCGAGCCCCGC